AATAAAACATATCATATGTTACTCAGAATCGTTATGTGCATATATTATCTTTTATCACTAATTACTATGAGGACAAAGGAGAGACAGAATGTATCCCTCCCCCATCAAGTGTGGAACCTAGCCTGCTTACTTATTCCTCTGGCATGTCTTCTCTCCTCCTCCATCCCTATAGTCTGGACCTGGACCACCCGTGGAGATCATGGTGCCACAGACACATCTGAGCCCCATTTCCAGAGGAAAAAAGGAGATCTGCTCTCAAAGGAGTTCCTCCATCCACAGTAATAAATGATATAATATGACCTGCAGATGGGAAAATATTCATGTTAGTTTAAAACAAAACATCACTTTTGTCACTGAGATAGAAGAAAAATTACACTTATGGAGCATCTACATGAGGCACATTAATGCATATTAGCCTAATTTCATACACATTATGGGCATGTGTCTACACGTACACACCTTTAATGTGCATTAAAAATGGCAAAATTAGGCTTTAGTTAAAGCACATTAATACACATGTAGATGCAGCCCAGCACAAACCTTAGTGCCAGGTCTGCCCAGCCACTAGGGACACATGGCAGGGCTGCAGGGAATTGGCACTAACTTAAGTGCCAAGTCCCTGCACATGTACACACTTGCCAAAAATAGCTTAATGTGCATTAGCTAAATGCACATTAAATTTAGTCATGTTTAAATGCACATGTAGACATGCCCTTAGAAAGGGTAGAATTGTGGCCCAAATGGAATCAGTAAGTATTTGCTATTGACTTCACTAGGTGCTGGAATTCACCTCTTGTCTTTACTGACAAGTTGAAAATCTTTGCAAGTAACTACACCAAAAAGATCTCACAGAGAACTTAAACTATCCCTCTTGATTCCAAATTATTCTTACGGGGGCTAAGGCCATTTACTAGTTAGTGGACTTTTCTAAAAGTATCCTCTGAGCAGATGGGATTGCCTATTATGCAGCTGAGTATGACTTAAAAACCAAAGAAGCTCAGTTGCAGATGTTTTTAATTGAACACATTCTGAAAACAATTTCAGACCCTCAGATCACCTCTCTTGGAGAGTTCCTATCATCTCAGGGTCTACCTGCTCCAGGGTCCCATCATGCAAGGTTCCAATTTCTCTCTCTGGTAGGGCAGATAAGAAACATTTCAAGAAGTGAAATCATGCTACGTGAAGCTCCATTTTGTGGTGCTGCACCATCCATTACTTGCAATGTATGGCAGCACAGGGAGACATGTGTTATAAGACCCCAAATATCCTCTCTGATCTAGTTCTGTGAACATCAAGTCATCATTCCCAGGACCTATATTGCTTTTGGTACTAGGTGGATGTGTCTACATGTGCAATTAATGCAATTTGGCTTTACTGCACAGTAAATTTACTGCCTCCATAAATGCACTGCATTGGCAGGTAGTAAATTTACTGTATAATAGACTAATTTACTGCACAGTAAGAACCTGCACATATAGACAGTGATGCATTACTGTGCAATAGACTAATCTCATGTAGATACAGCTGGTACTTCCCACAGTCACGTGTCCACAAAATACCAATGCCACTATATACTTCAACTTCATGAACTATAGCTTTAGAAGTAGACTGTTCTTTTTATTCTTTATCTGACTCACAGAAGAATGCACAGTGTTCACCAATAAATTCCCCTAAATAATATGCTCATGATCTATACAGAGCAGGAAGAGATTTTTAAGAACTTATTCCACATGAGATACTATAGAGAGCAACAGGGTGAGTATACTCCTTTACATCCTACCCTATTACTTTCAGGCCCTTGCCAATGTAATATTCCAGTATGGGCCTTTTAGAATGTATAGAATTCATGCGTAAACAAACCACCGCTTGTCTGGAGCATGCTTTAGAGGGAAATCTTTCATTGCTACATTCAATCTCTTCTCATGTATCATCTTACAAATCTACACATTCTAAATTATTTTATAGAGTTCCTAATTTATATAGTCCTTAGCATTCCTAATTTTTGAGGCTCTCATGGAGCTTCATGGTAAATACCTGTAACTGATGTCCCCACTTTAGGAAAGGTAAATAAGCAATACTGTACTATGTTGCAGCTACCAGGGCACACATTTTCCATAAACGCTATAGTATACACACATAACAGGCTCCTTAATGGAGGTTCCAGATAACTCAAGGGAAGGCTTTTCTGCTGCAACTATTTCTTGATTCCAAAGAAAATATAGTTGCTTTCCTGCCATTTTGAGATCCCTACTTTACATTTTCCGAAAAAGGCAATATTTCCCATTGGTTCTATTAAGGTACATTTCTGGGCACCACCTGCCAATTGAAAGACTTCCTTTTTCACATTCAGTTGTAACTAAAATCTTTAGGGTGGTTGTCAGATTTCTTATCCCAATTACAGTGCCACATGCTCCATGGGACTTCAGAGAGGATCTGCTTGCATTTTGAGGCCTTCTATTTAAACACAGGGCAGTATAGTCCTCTGTCAGCATTGAATTACTTCAGTAAAAAAGTTTTTTTAAATTAATTTCAATTACTTCAGTAAAAAAAAAAAGTTGAAAAAAATTCAAGCATTCAACCACATGGTAAATCAATCCCACACCATTTTCCACTGAGATAAAGTCATAAAGTTTTGTCTAAACTAACAGGTTTACCTACCTATATTTCCCCCTAGACCTTATTCAAAGAAAAGAGAATAAATATTATAGATGGTGATCATTAGCTTTTTATTTGCTATTAGCTATTATTTTCTAACTACAGCTATTAAAGCTTCCCCAAGATTATTCACAGCTATTGCTGACCAAGAAGGAGTCACCCAATTTTCAGTCTGTAAGCAAGCTATTCAGCCTGCTGGCTTTTTCAGGAGAATTTGCTCACTTATGAGCTTCTCAGCCAATGCTCCAAAGAAAAGTTCAGGCTTTAAATAAATAATATAAAATAAAATCCCCCTATCATCTCTAGATACTAGGAGGGGAGTTCCTTTCTGCTCTGGCCCCAGCACAGCAATCAGGCCCCTCCTTGTACAAAGTTGTTTCCATCATACCTTGCTTCCTTTCCTCTCTTACTTTGTCTTCCGGGAGCTCTTAAGTTCCCACTGGGATATTTCTTCATTATTCAAATGCTCCAAAGATGGGCTTCCTTAAGAGGGATCACTGTTCCTCTTTAAGGGAAAGACTGCCCTGTTACACAGCCCCAAACAACTAAAATAAACATTGGACTTAATTGTGCTCTGTGTTATGATGTAGCTAGTTTAAAATCCCCATATCATTTCTTGGTATTTTCTATGGAAGCCACTGCAGTATCACTGAGAAATACATCTGTAATGCAAGCAATTAACAATTAATTCATAGTTTTACTGAGCACTGTTCCATCATAGAAGCCTCATGATCGCATACTTCTTTCAACACAGCTGTGTTGCATGCTTTCTTTACTTACACTTGGCACTCCGGGCACCTTAGATTAGATACCTACTTGTAAGATGCCAAGAGTAGAATATGGACTGGCATACAAAGAGAAAAGAAAAATCATTTAACTTTAAAGATGTTGTCCGTACATATATTCCATGACCCACCCTCCTTCCTCTTTGTTACAGCTTGCATTCAACAGCGAAAAAGAAAGTGAGAGTTGGGTCATTGTGCTTATGCTTCATGTTTATACCCAACAGACACTGATAACTAAAGAGTTCCAATCTAGAGCACAGGTTATGGTCATGAATAACAAATGAATATGTATGTGGACTACACATTTTGAATAACTTAAGTGTTTGTCCAAATAACTAGTGATCCATATTCTCTGTATTTATTATACACACACACGTTATACTTGTAACCTGTGCCGGTACGATAGGCTGAGTGATGTGCCAGATTTCAGATCCTCAGGGTGGCAGTAGCCTTGGGAACCCCCCTCAGGCAGATCTGCTGACTGAGGTGTCCCATGGAGAGGCGTGTTTCTCACCCTCACTGCCTAAGAATTTACTCTGAACCCAATTTATTATGTACAACTATATACAGAAAAGAAATGAATAAGCAAAAGAAGAAAAATATCTATAATAACAATAGTTAATAATAAAGCCAACAATTTGAATAAAAGTTACAAACTGCACAATCAGGTGAATAATTCCACCACACTGGGTGGTCCCACTTGCAGCAAAGAACTTCAACAATTACATTCACCAGGTTATAACCCTTTAAAACAGTTTCCCTCCTCCCTCCCCTTCCCCATAATGCAGGTTGATTTTCCTCTGGTCATAATCCCCTTCTTACCCCTCAGCTTGCACCCAAGCGAGCCTTTGCAGCTGCTACATATTATATATGTGTATGTGTATGTTTTATAAAAGAGCCCTAAATATAACAATATAACATTTCAGTATTAAAATTTTCAATCCAGATTTCTTTGCTTACTACTTTCAGTGTAAATCTACACAAACAGCATTTAATGTTGTCCATTCTGGTAAAGTCAATGTCTTCAGTTTAAAGGCCAGATTTATCTTGCAGTTTAGCACAGACTAGAAAGCTAAGAGAAAGGGGCATAGAGAAGGACATAGAATTGTTGAACTATTGGAAGGGTTGGTTGGAAGCTTTATAACAGCCCACAACTAATTTAATTCATAAAAAACAAGCGCTTCAAAAATATGATGACACATCCTTAAATAGTTCCCATATAAGGATTAGAGACACAGAAAGGAAGACTGTGCATTAAAACTTTGAAATGTGGAAAACCCTATTGTGAACCACAGCATTTTAATTTTAGGTTTACAGTCTTTCAGTACCACTACCCAAATTGATCTGTGTGAATGAAAACAATGAAATACCCACTCAGAAATTTAGGGCAGGATTCCCTTCAAATGCAGCAGTATTGAGAAGAAATAATAGACCTTTTAACATAGTTAACTGTTTATTGGTGAGAAGAGATGCATAGATTATACAATAAAAAATAAATACAACATTAAACATCATTTCTTCCTTGACTTACACATTTAAGACTTACAATCATAGTTGTCCTATTTTTTCCCATGAAACTGTTGTTCACATCACTGACAGCAGTGCCTAAAAGAGAGGATATAAACAAAAATCAATATAGCTGTGACAGTGTATACTAGCTGCTCCATGAAATCATAGGCCCTGTATTACTTTAAGGACCAGTGATGTCTACCACATTTCAGAGGAAATGTCAAATTTCACTTTTGGCAGGTAAAAAAGTTTTTTCAAGCCACCATTAAATTCAGTTTTAGTTTGAAGAGTCACTACATAAAAATGATATCTGCTAGCTCAATAGCCCATTTCTCTGTGTTAAGAGAGTCAGAACTCCTAACTTAATGATTAAAATACAAGAAAATCATCTCCCTATTCGCCTGCTCACATTGCACAGCATCATCAATACAATTTTTAATTTAGTTTTGATTTTAGAACTAAGAGCTAGAAAGAACCCAGCTGGTCTTTCAGGTTCTGTCTGACTTTTACAAGGTGGGTAGCTGACTAAAAAGCATGTCTTTACTTATAGGCTTCATATAGACATTACAGCTAGCCACTGTGGGTTAGATTGGTTTAAAAATGGCCCCCAATCTAAGGTACGTCATGGTAGCAGGAGGACTGGGCGGACCTAGTGGTGTCCATGGGGGTGGAGTTCAGGAGAGTTTGGCAGGATTGGAAGGGCTAGTAGGGTCAGTGGGGGGATTGGTGGGTTAATGAGGTATGAAGTAGGGTTGGAGGATCAGGGTGCATTGGCAGGCTGAGAGAAGCTTTTTGATCCTGCCAAACACCTCAGCCCCCCAGGATGCTGCTTAACTGCACCTAATCCCACAAACTTCTCCCAGAGTTGGTTTTACCACCTTTCACCACTCCTGGGAGCCTAACTGAAGTAAATTGGGATGGGGGAAGAGAAGGTGGATCGGGGGGTAGCTTTCTGTGGCATGGGTTGGCAGGATCAGGGCAAGCTGATGGCTCCATAGGGGAGGGTTGGTGGGATCAGGAGGGCTCTTTCCTTCACCAAGGAGTTATTTTTAGCCCCTCATACTCCCCCACACCAGGTGAAGAACATGCCCCCACCAGTGAACCGACCCCTCTGATCCTGCCTGCTCCTCCCACCACCCCAACTTACTTCCATCAACTCTAAGCACCAGCAAATGCCAGTGAAACCAGTACTGGGAGTGGCTTGTAGGCTCAGGGGGGG